GGGTTCGGGGGCCGGCAGTGCCGCTGGGCTCTGGGCTGCTCCAGGGTGGGCTTGTGACACTGCAGCTAAAGGCAGTCTGAGGTGAGTACAGTCCTCTCACACAGGATTCATTCAGTCCCAGCCATGTAAAAACATTGGAAGGTGATGGTCTGTTGTTGCCGAAGTGTTCTATCTCTGTGTACCCAGATACATATATGAGTCACATGTGTTCCAAGGCAAAACAGGGACTGTTAATGACGTGTTGTTGCATGGGTAAAAATTGCAATTTCACATAGCTTCAGCTGTCTGATGGTTGTGAAGGAATCCCCCCCCCTTTTTTTTTTTTTTGAGATAACCAGAAAAGAAGGTGAAGTTAGCTTGTAAACATTCTCAGATTCTCAGACGTAATGGAGAGGACAGCCCAGATCATTTGATCCCTTTGTAATCCAGTGCTCTCTTTTATCCACACTAGGGGTACGCTTACTTAATCTGAAACCCCAGAAGCTGTATCTCGCTCCTGCAATCCTGTTTGCAGTCCGACTGGAATGTGTGCCAGTAGCAGTGTGCCTCTGCTTTCTCCCAGTGCCTGCTGTAGAGTCCCTCTCCTCTCTGCAGCCTGCTCCACATTCATCTCTGAGGCAGAATGTTCCTGCTCCCAAGCTGCCTTCATACCTTTTTACATTGAACCCATCTGAAATGCAATTTAGGTACTCCCAGCTGCTAAAGTCAAGGTCAGCTCCTGTGAACTTGACCTTTCCTTGCTGTTTGTCTCAGTTCACTCACAGTTCCTGTTTCCCCAAAACATCCTGGACAAGTTTAGTTGCTCCTTAACGATGGCATGGGGATCTGCCTTTCATTTTCAACGCTATTGCTATAAACACATATTTCTTTTTTACCACTGCATTTTTACCTGTGCATTTTTGGACACAGTAATGTATTATTTTAGTTAGTTTGTTTTTCCCTGCAGCACTTCTGGCAATCTTGATTCTTTCCATGCATTGCCAAAAGCAGAAGTTAGTTTGAAAAGGACATAATGAGCAGCTCTGGTCAAGTGTTTGAATGACTCATCTGCAGAGGGGTTGAGGGTAATGGAGGTGGGACATGGGTTGTTCTCATTTTGGGTAAATGTTTTTGGAACCTGCCCTGGGAGTGGAGGAAGGTCTGCAGAACACAAAGTCTGCCACAAGACACATGGGGAGGGAGGCCCAATGTCAGGTTTAAATTTGGTGTGCAGTATTCTGCCTCCCTGCTGAAAAATCAACGGGCATCTATGAAGGGAAAAATTACAGATGTTTGGATTGCTCACCAAAAAAAAAAAAAAAAGTTGCATAAAGCAACAATACTGTGGTAAAATTTGGTAAATAAGGAACATAAGGTTATCAGCAGAGAACGATGTTGACCTTCCATGATGTGGATCATTAGCTCACTGGGCCACAGTTAATGGGGCAGAGACAGCACCATATCAATTTCCACCTCCCTGCAGTACAAGTACTACCAGGGTGTTTGTCAGACAAATGCATCAAGTCTTGCACAACCATGCTGGCCATCAGCCCCAGTGCTTGGTAACTTGTTGGCTGACATCAATCAAACATGAGAGCAGGGTAAGACATAAACAAACAAAGTTATAGCTTCTGTAAAAGCTGCTATATACACAGCCTGGAGGTCCAGATTTGTGCTGTCACTGAGGGAAAGGAAACAGTCCATACCCAGGCACTACACATTTCATCTGACAGAGCTGCTGGCCATGCAACATGCTCACAGGCCCAGACAGGAACCATGATGCACTCCCTGGCCTTTCTTCAGATTGGGCTGCTCATGGGAAACAGCCAGGAGAGTTAGGAGCCATTACTACAGTAAAAACTGTCCTGTGAGGTCAAGGCAGAGGACAAACAAAGGAGACAAAGTACAGGCTGGGAGATTTTACAAGGAAAGAATTTCCACAAAACTGACTGTTTTCCCATAGCCTTTTGCTGGGTATTACCTGACTTCACACAGTTACCTACTTTCAGAAAAGACTTGCTAGGAATGGCTGCCCAAGTTCATGGTACAGAGTCCACTCTCATGAACATACCTGCCAAAGATAATAAACCTGCAAACAGAATGGAACCATTTAGGCTGGAAAAGACCTCAAACATCACTGAGTTCAACTGGCAACACAGCACTGCCTAGCCTACCACTAAACTATGTCCTTAAGCACCACATCTAGAGGCCTTTTAAAAACCTGCAGAGATAATGGCTTCATCACTTCCCTGGACAGCCTGATCCAGTGATTGGTAACCCTTTCAGTAAAGAAAGTTTTCCTGATATCCAGTCTAAACCTCCCCTGGCACAGCTTGAGGTCTTTTCCTCTCATCCTGTCACTTGTTACCTGGGAAAAGAGAGCAATGCCCCCACCTGGCTACAGCCTCCTTCCAGGCAGTTGAAGAGAGCAATAAGGCTCCCTTTCTGGAGCCTTCTTTTTTCCAGCCTCAACAACTCCAGCTCCCTGAGCTGCTCCTCCCTCATAGGAGTTGTGTGCCAGACCCTTCCCCAGCTCTGTTGCCCTTCTCTGGACATGCTCCAGCCCTTCAGTGTCTTTCTTGTAGTAGAGAGCAGTGAGTGGCCCAGAACTGAGCACAGGATTTGAGGTGTGGCCTCACCAGTGCTGAGTACAGGGGGACAATCCCTGCCCTGCTCCTGCTGCCACACTATTGCTGATCCAGGGCCAGGATGCCATTGGCCTTCTGGGGCACCTGGGCACTGCTGGCTCATGTCCAGCTGCTGCCACCAGCACCCCCAGGTCCTTTTCCACTGGGCAGCTTCCCAGGCATTCAGCCCCAGTCTGGAGCAGTGCAGAGGTAGATCTGCATAACAAATTGAGACATTGAAGTTACCTGAAAGGTAATTTTTTTTCAAAGATATATGGCACAAAGAAAGGATGAAAAAACCTGCAGCAGATCAAGAGTTAAATGCTAAACCCAGGTTCAGCCAAAGGAATCCAGGGAAAGCTAAAATACAGAACTAAGGAAAAAAGCCCCAAGGAGAGGGCAGAAAGGAGGCTGTTGGCTGGAGAGCTAAGGAGAGCTGGAACTGCCAGGCTTGGGAAGCACCTGTAAGTCAGCTCCCAGCCTATGTTCTCACAATCACTTTCCCTCAGGAAATGTTGGGCCAGATAACAGCATGTCACATTTAGGAAAATTGCTTTTTAAATGGATAGGTTTGGGTAAGTTAGAGCCCCCAGCTGTATCCAGGCTCCTGCTGTTATTTTTGTGATTCCATAGAAGCTGCTCTACAGTTTGTTCTGAGGACACTGAATTGCCAAGATCCACGTTTCCCTGACATACCTGAACATTGATGCTCTATAGAGAACATCTGTTACTTTGCTGCTGCCCAACATCTTCAACACTGGGTGATCTTCCAGGAAGAAATGTTTAGCAACCTCTGCCCTGTGGGTACAGGTACACTCAGGCAATGTGGCCCCAAAGAACCACCTGATTGAGGCAGTCAGACTGCTCAGCCAAATTCCATCACCAGCTACTGAAAAGCAATCAAATGCAGCTCTTCCACTATGGAGAAGTGATTTCCCTGCTGACTCATAAAATAACTGCTTACCTGTTGGGATTAGCACATAAAATGTCCCAGTAAGAAAAAATTGAGGAAATCAAATTAAAAATGAGGACCTGAGAGTCACAATTACCTGGCCTGTCAATCTCTCCCAAAGCTTGTGAACCTCTGAAGCCACTTGCAGACCAGTCTGGATAAGTCTTTAGGGATCATGACATTCTCTGTGGGTTCAGGGAAGTAAAGGGATGGGTAGAGAACCAAGGAGAACCCCTCTGAGTACTGCTGCTCGAGGTTATTTGCAGGGGATGATACAGCTGGGTACCAAGGGCATACAGCACAGAAAGGCTTCATCATTTCCACTGCTGTGGAACAATTCATTTTTAATTGCTAGACCAGAATAAAGTGGCCAAAGAGCCTTTAGTCTGTGGCAATTAGGAAAATCTGCATAGCTCAGCACTTTTAATTAACATTGCTTCTTGAGGCAGAAGCATTTCAGTCATCTTCAGGATAACAGCACTGCTTTAAGCTATTGTTTAAAACTACTGAACCAGAACATTGGGGTTCAGAAGGGGCAGGCAGGACATTCTCACTGCTTCCTAACAGTTCCTGCACACTACTGCCAGCTTTCAGTGCAGTCAGAGCCTCTCTGGACATTACCTTTCTGTGAGGCACATATTCCTTCTTGTTTTACAAGTCTGGTAAGATGGATCTGACTGGTTTCCAAATACATAAAAAGTGAACTACAGAGTGAATGGTAGAACACTAAAAAACCAACCTCAAAAATAAACTGAAGTGCCACATCCTCACAAAGGCTAAGAAATTAATACTTAATATGCATCAAAGATTTTATTTGCATTAACTGAAGATTCAAATATTAAAATAAGTCTACATTAAATTATAATATTAAATATGCTTTAAATATGATAAGCTAAACGTGTTTAGTTTCCAAACACAAAGGAAACAAAAATAATTCAGAATGCAATACAATTAATAACACCAGAGGACAGAATAAGGACTTTTAATATGTAGTTCCACAAGTTGTCACCTCATAGCACTGTTTACTTTAAGAAATGGCCTTTTAATTGATGCACAAACCCCACGTTACATAAACTTAGTAAGGTATCTCTCAAGAAAATATTGCTCAGGTAAATTCTCCTTTATGTAGTGATCAAAACTCCTTTGGTAGCTCTTTTTCAGAATGAAACATACCAGTAGACAAATAAGGAAAATAAAGAGTCTTGCAAGTATTACCAGAAAAGGTGTCTTCCTTATGGTTACAGTTATCTAACAGATCTACAGTGTCTTTCACTCTTTAATTCAAATCAACTTACATATGTACAATATGTAACAAAGTACTCACAAAGTCCTTAGTCTTTCAAGACAAAAAGCTATGCTTTCCCAATATTGAAACCATAAAAGTATTTTTTTTAAAAAAAGGTTTTGTTTTCTTAAAGTGGAGCACACTGTACAGTAGGTTCCCTGGATGTTATTTTCAAGGCAGAACTAAATGTTACAGCAATTACAGTGAAATACACCTGCTGCCCTAAAATGAGGCAGGGTCTCCTTGACTCAGATCTATCTTTGCCACCCAAGCCAGCAGAAGTAGTAATAATAGAACAATCCATATTTTAGCTAAAGAATCCAACAGCTCAGTACACACACGAATGCAGCTGTCCTCTTGGCACTTCAAGAATCTCACTTCAAAACCTGATTTATCCAAACCAGACTGAAGTTTGAAATAACTTGGAAGAAAATTACCTGAACACAAGTTTAAGGGTTTTCATGGTGCAAAACTTCAGTGTATTTCAACAACACTGCTTGTACATACATGTTCATCAATGAAAGGTTTTTAAAAAGTTACCTAAGTTGTAACTGTAGCTAAAGAATGCAGCATTTAGGGACTTTGTGGATGCAGTTAGGAACACCTAAATGAAGAAACCAGACTTGCATGACAGAACTATTTCTCACACAGGTGCTTTTACCTTTCCATCCAACTTCAATGACATTGTTAAAGAAAACTGTAAAACTAAATTTTGAAGAACCCAAGAGAACAAAATATTAACTACAGGGGGAAAAAACCCCAGGGCATTTAAAATTAGTAAGAAGTCCTGACAAAGGTGATCAATTAACATGTCGTTTTGCTTCTTTTCCACAGCAGTGCATGCAGCTGCTTGAATAATGTACATCAACCTGAAATCTGCTAAAAGGAAAGTCTGGAACAGCATATGTATTTGGTGTCCTAAAGATATATGTGGATGATTTTGGTTTTTATTTTTTAAGTTTTTTAAAATTTTTAAATAAAACTATTTCTTCTTCTTTATGCAACATAGTGGTACTGATTGGGGTTGTCTTTGTCTCTCTCCATATAGTCTCTGTCAATGAGAGATTCAATTCTCTTTTTCAAGTCTCCAGGCTACAAGAAAAGATGAGATTAGTATAACAGTTAGTAATACAAAGGCAAACATATTAAAAAAATACTGCTAAAAGCTGTATAAGAAATGCATCATAGTATATAATTGATGTAGTATGATACTCTGACTTATTTCTGTTTACACAATACCTTCATCTTTGGGTTTAATTCTATGATATTTCACATTTCTTGCTCTTATAGACAAGCTAAATAGAAACATATATTACATATATTTAGATAAATCTAGGATGGTTGGAGAAACAAAAACATGAGTTACCTTTACAGGAAATTTCAGTTGATTATACAATTCAGAAACAAGAAGATTATGACCAAGAGTCTTCCTCATCTTCATTATTCGTACAATAGCAGCATCAATCTGATACTGCCGGTCCTGAAATACTCTTTCAGTTGTGCTGACCTGTTCCTCAACCTAAAGAACAACACAACACCACAAATCATATCACCCTCTGTTGCTACTTTTTATTAATTCTATCTCTATGGTTAATCTTCACAATAAAATGAAGCTCATGCATTCTTATTTATCTTTGAGACAGATGCATGCATTGCTGCATTCCAAGAGCTAAGTGATTTCTGAAGTGTACTGCTAAAGGAAGTACAAGAGAAAATTCAGGATAATGTAAAGGAAAAAATGTGTCTTATTTGATAAATAAAAGTAAATCTTAGAAACTTCCTTAAGATTTTTGAGAGAACCCATAACACTTTGACAGTTCAAACACAGCAGTGTTTTGTGTCAAACTCCAGTTTGACTATCAGGGAATTTAATATGCAAAGGCAAAAAAGAAACAAGTCACTGTTAATTAGAATATGTCACCTTGTGTAAAAAAATGGAAAAAAAAGGTTTGTTTTCACTGTAGAATCAGGGACAACCCTAACTTTTATAGCTTTCTTACCTGCTAAATATAGAACTGACATGGTGACATTTGATTCATGAGTTCAGCAATACCACAGAAACTACTAAGATGGACTGAAACCTCTACGAGATCCTTTTAGTTTAATACATAGCCATTTAAATTTGCCAGTACAGGAAGCAATCTAAGTTGTTTTCAATTTCAGTGATTTTAAAGTCTTTGTTGCCTCTCTGAGTCATTCTGACTAGTCTAAAAATTAATTATAATTTGAATTTAAATATTCATTTCTTTATATGCAAAAAATACAAGAGATTACATCTTTCCATATGGGATATGTAGATAAACAGATAACACAAACTGAATGAATGCAAAAAGTACGTACTGTTTCCTTCATTTGAATCTGGTTGATCTTTATTCTAAACAACTTATGTTTGAAATCACCATTAAAGATGAATTTATCTCCATCTTCTACATCCTTGCCCTTTGGATTTTTAATCAATACTCTTGCTTTTCCACAAGCTAAAGACTGCAAGGTTCTTCTTAATTCACTGTCCTCTGTGAAGAGTTCAAATATGGGAGAAAGCAGAACAAAACATTAACATCAAGAGTTTTATGGGATTAATCTAGAAATAAATTGAAAAGCCAGTGGTTTTATGTTAATACTTTCTTCTAAGTTCCAATTAAGAAGTAGCTCACAGCCTTCAAATCTGGTCTCATCTTTCACAGGCTAAATGCTGACAGCATGCACAGAATTATATACATCAGAAAGACAGATTTATGCTCATCTCAGTGAATTTTCCTTCCAAAATAGTCTCAGAAAAGATTTCACATTAACACAAACTTAGTTTTATTGCTTTAGTTATGTGTGGTAGTAACAGGACTTTGGAAAAGAAAAAGTCAGTGTATGACAAGAAACTCAAAGCCACCTATTTCAAGATTTGATCAGATTTGATATATAATCAAATAAATATTTATTTGATATATAATCAAATAAAAACACAGAAGTCTAAATTGACAGGATGAAGTTTTGTGGGAGGGTATAGCTGACAGCTATTATAGTCAAAATTCCCCCAAAATGGGAAAGTAGTAGACACAAGTGTGTGAGAAAATTTTATCTAGTAATATTTAAGGCTAAAAGCATTTAGACAACATAAAATGAAGTCTTAAACATTCTAATTATGTTGCAAAGTCTTGTATCAGATTTTGCATTGAAACAGCCTCTGCAGTCTCTAGAATACTTTAGTCACGGTATAAAATTATCACTGAATGTGCTGGATCTCCTCAAAGGTTTTGCAATCTAGTGCTGAGGTACAGCTGAGTAAAAGATTAACACTATTGCTATTTTTAAAATACTTGAGCTTTTACACAGAGCAACCTTTTCCTTCTTTAAACTTCCAACTGGTCTGTGATTTCTTAAAAAAACCCTTTAAACAATGTGGGCTAAACTGGCATTCATGACACATGGGACATTTTGTGTTTCAGCCTCAGTAAATGCAGATTGTTGAGCTGTGTTTTTGCCCGAACACAAGGCTGCTGTTAAAACACTCTGGAGCTTGCAAGTGAAGTCACAGGTTACAGTATGCCAAAGGGAAAGGAATTTACAACTAGAAGTAAAAACTACAGCTCCTAGAGGCTCTCTTGACAGGCAAGTAAAAACATGGAATATATTTGAATAACACATCTTGAAGAAGCAGAATCAGAGAGAAGGTGACCATTCTTCCTTTGAGTAACAGTTTATGCATTTTCTCACTGTCCTAATGCACCAGGGACAATCTCATTAAAGAGGCTGATGATTATTTATTGTAACAGTATTGGAAAACACAGGTTCCAACCATGGCCAGTTAATCCCTACAGGAACAATGGAGAGGAACTTGTAAATTCCAAGACCATGTAGTGACATGACAAGGGGGGAACAGCTTCAAACTGAAACAGAACAGATTAGGTATTGGAAAGAAATTCTTTATTGTCAGAGTTGCAAGACACTAGAACAGGTTGTCCAGAGAAGTTCTGGATGCTCCTTCCCTGGAAGTGTTCAAGACCAGGCTGGATGGAGCTCTGAGTAACCTGGCTTAATGGAAAGTGTCCCTGCCCAGGGCAGGGGGCTGGAACTAGATTATCTTTAAGATCCCTTCCAAACCAGCCATTCTGTGATTCTATGCTATTCATCCTGGCTTCACAGGAACCCCATGGACCATGAGCTGTCCTTACCACCTGAATTTTTATACTACTACTTCTCCAAAGGGGAGAGAAATACAGACATGGAGCTCCGTGCAATGATAGAGAGGTAGCTCTCAACTATCAATTCCATCTACCTGCCTTAAAAACAGTCTATTGAATTCCTTATTTTGTGCTATAATGGAATGGATTTCCATGCAGGGGATTTTATCTGTTGCTGCCAGGCAGCCAGAATACCAGCTCCAAGGGACAGCAATCCAAGATGAGAAAGCAGGACCTGGATCAGGCTTGCATGAACCTGTGTTTGTTCTGTAAACATGGTACTCCAACCTAATGAGCCTCTCCAGACTATCCTGATGATTATCATCACTGGCATGGATTTTCTTCAGCTCCCTTACTGTTAAGGGAAAGGATGACTAAGTGACTTGAAGCACTGATACTGAGACAACGGAGCACCCAGGCTGTACTTCCTTCTGCAATGCATCATTCTGAACCAAAAGGATTCTTGGTATCCCCATTTTACAGTCTTTCAGTAAATACATTACAATATTTTAGTACTTGTAAGGACTCAAATACTCTTTTAGGTACTGCTGTATTAGGTTGATCTTAAGTTTCAACATGTGAAGGACTACAGGGTATAAGTTGCTGATTGATGCAAAACTTGCAGAGAGTAATGATGACCGTGTTTTGGTTAGAACTATTTCAAGAGAGTGTAAGAATTCAGGGAAAAAAGCCCACCCAGGAACATAAAAACACAAGACAGACACTGCAGATAGTTAAAGAGAAAACTGTACTCTTCCTCAGCTTTCTTTGTCCTCCAGGTTCAAATGCAGAGGCAGAGAGCTACAAAATACACCCCAGCACACAGTGCTGCTCTGAACACATCAGACCTGCTGTGAAGGGGCACCCCAGTGACAGGAATGGGCAACAGGCAGGTGAGCTCTCAGAACAGTTCAACTGAAAATACCCTCTTAAATCACCCCCATCTGAGAGCATTCTACAATAGATCATTTTCAAAACATAGTATGTGAAACTGAACAAGAGCAAAACCAATATGTACACACAACAGTCTTGATCACCGCTTAGATTTTAAGAATTGCAGTGAAACATTTTGTAAATCTAATAGGTTGTTAGAAGTACCATATGCCACACAGCTCTTACTAATAATTTTGTGAAGGGTCAATTTTACACACCAAGAAAATACACTAAGAAACACCTGCAGTGTGTTCTCCTCATCTCTTCTGGTGTGTGTATGCTTTTGACACATGAAGTTTGTCCTAATGATCGTGACAAATTTCTTAATATTAGGCCTTCACGTACCAAATCATAATTGCCAATCACTTGATGAATAAATTTAAAAATAAGAAAGTGTTCTTCCTACCTACACCAGTAGCCATTTTAATTTCTTCAAAACTGAATTCATCTCCTTCATTAAACATAAGCAATACTAATGTCTGAAAGAGCGATACTTGAAACTCCTTCTTGCCCTAAAAGAGAAACAACACATAATAGCAATATTCAGAGAGAATTTTCTATTGTATCCCCTACAATTGACAGTTACAGAGAGTATACATTAATTTTTCTATTTCTACAAGAATGGATATGCATTTTAGAATGCCTAGCACACAGAACAATTTGCCTGAATGTAGTATTGAGGAAACAGGATACTTAAAAAATCTCCTTTTTTTGCTCCTCTAACAGTGACAATACAATACACAGCAGAAACTCATTAGAATGGCCTGGTATTTACTTCAATGATTCACTTCATTTTAATTACACTATATGAC